TATTCTCATTTAACCATCATCTGTAGCTGTCAGCATAGGACATACCATGCCATCCAACCAGCCTGTGCACACGCCTGTGTCGTTTGCTGTTCCATATTTGGAAAAACGTACCAACGAGAACGCAAAACGTAATGTTTCTGGGCTCGCGATGGGCGATGAAGCGGCTGAGTAATATCTATGAAAACCAAAAAAGGGCGGGAGTTGAGAAAACGTATCAGGCGGAAGAACCTGTAACAAGACGGAGTATGAGGGAAGGCGTGCTCGTATTTTTAGTTAGGTACGAGCCTAGATATGAGTAGTACACCACCCCTATAATATATGTTTTTTAGTGGGTTGTCAAATAGAGCAGAATTTACGGGGTGGGACTTTTGCAGTCTCTGCGGGCAATTTGAAAGAGCCGTCCGCTATTAACTTTTTACTGCTGTGAATTGAACAAGTAGCATGACTTCGAAAAAATATTCTATGCGAAATGCTGGCCCAAACCTTAGATCATTTTATCTTGTTTTAGTTTAGTTGATCTGCGAGGCAGAGAAACTATGGGCAAGACATGCCCGAGAATAATAAATAGATTTCACAGTTCGAATCCATGTAATCTAGAAAGAACTGATCACAACTTTAGGCTCAACATCTGTAGGACTACAGTTTCTATAAAAAAACAGTTTATGGGAAATTATTCTCTGAGATGAATGCGGGACTAAGTTTCTATGAGAACTTGAACGCAGTCATTTTTTAACTGCCGCTCTGTCCTCAGTCAGCAGATTTCCGTAGCTGACACATACGTGATGTTTAGTATGGAAGCCGTGTTTGATTGAGACTCTTTGTACACCCCTTATCCCCAACATGTACCATGCACACGAAAAATATCCACAACCCCTTCCTTATCTACTGTACCTTGGAAGGAGAGCATATAACCCTTCGAGTAATCTGCCTGGCGGCAGTTCTAAACTGTTACAGACTGATACAATATCTGAAAGTCTGTGCTTGGCGCTGCGTTTGACAGACTCTAGATCTGAACGTCCTGGATGAGAAAAGAAAGGAATGCATAGAGTTATGTCAGGTAAACGTATTGTGGTTAATCAAGTAGTAGTCATAAACCCACACAGATACAAATATATAAAGCCACTCTC